TCTGATAAAAGTATTGTAAAACATATAAAAAAAAATCTTTAATTAATTGTGTAACGATCTACAAACTCGGGGCACTCAGGACGTTCACCCCTGTTCACGAAGATCGATTTAATTACATAATTGATCGATAACAATGCGTCACGGGTATTATAAATATATGCTTAAGGGTTTCAATTGTAATCGATTCTTTATTTTTTTAACTACTTTTAAGGGTCGAAAAGCTTAAGAGACAAGGTTTTTGCTAATAGGGAACTTAGAGTTGACACTTCTACTCGAATTTTGAAGGTCAAGTCTTAATTTAATTACAAGTTTATCAATAATTCTGGGATAAAGGAATAGAGTTTTTGGAACGATTTTATTTGGAACAAAAAGGAAAAGATAAGTAACTTCTACTATTAGGGCTTCGAAGTTATTGAGTTTTTGAGTTTTTAGAACTCATAAGAGTTGTTTTTATTTGCATGAAAAGACAGCATTATATAGTTTTCACATTGCTACGGCTTTAATGGCTCAGCAACTAACTTTGTATATTCTGACAAGTTTTCTTCATTGAAAGATGAAGAAAATGAAATAAATGAAATAAATTTCATTTATTTCATTTTCAAAATTTTCTTAACCTTCGATCCTACCAAAATAGGTATCGAGTTTGTAACATTACTAATTTACGTAATTACTATATTATATATATAGAACGTAACTATTACAATATTACAAAAATAGTAAAAAAAGAAATAAAAGAAAAAATAAATTTGGGTTACGGGAGCCCTTCACGACATACATATTTTTGATAGATATTTTCTCATATATATTAATGGATTTCTGACTTGCTAAAAATCATTTCCGGATTCTTTCACTCTAAATAAAGATTTTCTAACTTTAACTTCTCACAAATATCATTGCATTTATGATTTGCTAAAATACATTTTTGAATTCCTCTTTTTCCTAGGTTAGTTGTTCCAAATCTTAATAGATCAACACAGTGTATAGCTGGATCTGTTAATAAAAACTCATTATTAAGATCAACTCCTTGTAAATCATAGACTACCAAATATCCATTAGTGTATTGATAAGTGAAATGAGCAAATGCTTCGAGAATTGAATGAAATTCTGTAATTAAACCACTATTGACGCTAAATCGTTTGAACTCTGCATTGCTGAAATGCTTTTCCATAGAGTAGTAAGTTTTGTCTGTCTTATCATATAAGACTTTTATATCAATAAACGTAACTTTTTTATTAATACCAACTTGCTTTGCTGCATTATTGAATTCAGTTGAAAGAAAATATGCGACACTAGAAACTTCCACTGATTCTAAATACCGTTCTATGGTGCCTATTTTAACATCATGGTATTTTTTAACTACTAATTTATTAGTTCGTAAAAAGTTTGTCTCAAGTGCGAAATAAGCATATCGTTTAGCACTGACAGAGAATGGCTCTGGTGCAAGCTTAAAAGTGATGTTTTGAACAGTAAAGGGTGAATTAATAAAATAATATTCGTCTTTAACTTCAGCCAGAGTTTTAGGTAGAACATAACATAAAAGCTCTCCTGTTTTCTTTGAAAGAGTATTCCATTTAGGCTTGTGTGGATTAATTTGAAGCTTTTTTCGTTGCAAAGAGTATATACTTTTCGAGTTTCTTAAAGTTGTGGTTAGTGTAACAGACGAGAAAATGGCGGAGCAAGTAGCCTTGAAAAATTTGTTGACTAATATCTCTAGATTATTTCCTGTGGTATTAAGATCAAAAACAGGGAAATCACCAATTATTTCACGAAATACATCAAGCATAGCTCTAGTAGAATCATTAATTTTCCCAAAATGGTATAATATATTTTTTAGTTGCATTTTTTCTAGCACGCTTTCTGCAGTTAGTCCATTTGGGTCACCATTTTGATATCTGTCTGCCATATAAGTAAAATGAGTAAAATGACGACCATGTGGTGGTGCATCACCGATATAAATAAGAACGCAAGTGGCATTGCTCCATGTCATCTGAGTTATCGCTGCATCAAGACCACCTAAGACATCTTCTAGTTCATCAAAACCACTAACAGCTACCACTTTAGTGGTTATATAGGTTTTAAATTTCTCTAGAGAGTTAGTAAAATCAAAAATCTGTAAACGACGATTGCCATCGCCGTGATCACGATAGCCAATCCAGAATTTAATATTTGAATTATAGCTGTTTACGTAACTAGCCATTTTTAATATGTGATTTTTCGCTGCTGTGATGTGCCTACCCATAGAACTTGTACAATCTAGAACAAAACAAAGATCAATGTTCATTGAATCTTCAATATCAATAATTGCTTTTGATATATCATTTTCTCTATATTTTCTTAAATATGTAACTCTGTCTATTAATGTTGATATACTATTAATTTGACCTGCTTCATCTTCGTAGCATCTGAGATGTTCTTCTAAGAGTTCCTTATTACCTATTGGCGCTTCTCTAATGCTTTCAGAATTGCTAATGGTAACGGAAGATATACCTTTATTTTGGTTGCCTTCAACATGACAATTGCTTGTGCTATAATTGTTTCTTTTCTTTTCCTTTTTTTTAAACAAAGATCTTCAAAAACAACCTGGCATAGTTCTCTTACGTTAAATCATAAAAGCTCAGCTCTTCTTGTTCGGAGTGTGGGAGGATTTACGATAAAGTAATATTTAATCTATACCAGTCAGCTGACATGTCGTACAAAATTGATCTACTATAAATTTTTAAAATTTTTTATTATATAGATAATAAGTTATACAATAAGATAGTTTGAATTTTATTAATATATATATATTATATTTTTTAAAAACTTTATTCTACCCGCTTTACACTATAGAACCGTGGTTTATTTGACCATTTTCGTGAGATCTCTTGTTGAACGATTGGTGCCTCAAGATTAGTAGAGAGTTTTGCTTCCCACCCAAGATTATTTTCGAATATAAACACAGAGCATAAGCTTCAAGAAAATATATTTTTTTATCGGGTATTACTTTACAGATCTAGGGAAACATAACATATAAAAGAAGATCGCTCTCTATATACAAGGTAAAGTTTATAAAACATCTTTTTAAATCAACTTTAATCGGATCTATTAATAAAAAAAAAACTTTTTATCACTAGAACAATTCTTATATACTTGTTATTAGAGCTTGGTTATAAATTCTCTACTCGATTTCTTCCATACTTCGCTTTTTACTTTTAGCTGCCTTTCTTCCAACATAGTAAGGTACCAAATCCTTTGATCTTCGTCCTCTTGTATCACGTTTTTCTATTTTTAAAATATCTTGTTTAACGATCTTTGTGATTCTAACTACCCCTTTATTATAACAATTAAACATGTGTTCATATCCAGCAGGTGTTAGTTGACTAGAGATCTCAAACAGTGAATGCTTTTCAGGTTCATTAGAGGTAATTGCTTTGTAAAGTGTATTTACTAGTTTCCATAATGCCTCTTTACGATTATTTTTTGCACACACAGTTTTACTTAAACAGGTGTCAGTTACATATTCCACATACAATGCCATCAATCGATCTCTTTCGTTTTGGGCTGCTTTAATTACTAATTTTAAGTTGTCTATGTCAGTTGGACGTCTAGTCATATTTTGTTTGACAAATTTTACGCCAAAATACTCAAGTGCTTCATCAAATCCAAAGAAATTTTCATCTGCAGTAAGATTTATAGATCCAACTGCTTGAAGTTTTGCTTTTAGTATTGGGTTTGTTTCTATTGTCATTAAGAAACGTGGTACTGATTCTGCATATCTACTTTTTCCAGTGATGGGAAATAGTGGAGCAAAAGCTTTCAAATGTTTATGTTGAACTTCGAAATTACCTATTCAAATGCCAATTTTATGAAGCTTAAGCCAACTTGCCCATTGATAATATAGGTACCAAACTTTCAAAACATTATTATTTTTATTCTTGATATCTTCTAGTGTTATGCCATAGTTGTCTACATATATATGAATGACAATAGCTACAGCTGCCCAGATAAGCTCAAGAACGCGAAATGTTGCTTGGTAATCAACAACATCCTGAAGCTTTTCCAAGAATTTTGTACCAAGTATAGATGCTAATCCAAATAATCCATAACTAGAAAAAGCGACAATTAAAGCACTACACATATCCTTGCTTGTATGCCACTGACCAAGGATAGGATTTAGTTTTAATCGATTATTGGAATAATCTGTAAGTCTGCGAAAGATAGCTTCATCACATGCAATATCTAACAAGTCTTCTTGATTCAAATTTAGATTTTCTATATACATTTCGCAAGTTATATGAACTGCAAGATTGCTGTTTGGAGCAGGTCCAGCTTCTAAAATGACGACGTTTGGTGGAGGAGTTTTGCATCCGCTTCCTACTGCTTCTTTGAGTGCAATGTTTATTTCATCCATAGTAAACTCCATCGGATATTCTGCCATTAACCGTCTAAAGATTTGAGTAAGATTTTCCATCCACTTTTCTACAAATGGATTTTTTCCACACAGTTCAACATAACTAGCTAATAGTGCTATATTAATATTAGGCATTTCAAACTGGAACACTATACGTCGAGTTGCATGGGCTGTATTCCGTGTATTGTCATACAGATTTCTGGCTCTGAATGTTTTTTCTTTAAAGTCGATGTTGTCTATTACAGCCAAGTTTCAAATATTTGGACCTGACTTTAGTTTTTTTTGCACATTTGCTTCTTTTATTCATTGTTTTCTAACTTTCACTTTGTAATCTTTAGAATATGCTACCACATTTGCTGCACGAAGAACACCACGCAAATATGTCGTAAGCTTTGGTCATTTACAGAAAGATCCAATTACTTGTGGAAGCCAAAATTTCCAGCCTTTAAATGTGGTTGTTAAAATTATAGAAAACAAGAATGCTGTGCTTTTCACTATTTCGCTTTCATCAAATTCAGTTATAGTGCTTTTGCGTTCTTTTTGTTTTTGTCTAACAATTTCATATTTTTGAAATAGCAAAGTACGAATTAAACTATAAAAAAGGCTTGTTAAGCATTTTGGTATTGCTTCATAATACTGCTGCAAAGAATCGGGACTTTCTAATATTGACTTATAAGGTGCTAAGCTGGTGTGTGATTTTAAAACTTCAAGGGCAAGTAATTTTCCAAATTCTTCATATTTTTTGGGTTTTTGTATAAGTTGTTGTTTAGAAAAATCAATTTTTTTAATTTTGAGAATTGTATTAACAACAAACAAGCTTGGTAATTTGCTAGATGATGCAGAAGACGAATCCAGATTAAAATTTTCTATGCATAGAACGAGGTCTTGAAGTAAATTCTTTTTTATTATATCATTTTCTGAGTATGCCACCATTTCAATTAGCTTTGCAAAATGGAGAAGCGTAGTTTCAGTATCACCTAAATGCATTGCAGTGCATTCCGGGTCTGCTTTACCTGTACCCATATGTACGTGCAAATGCCCTCCATTCTTTTCATAACACTTACAACACACATAACGAACTCCCTGTGAATTACGGGTATTTTCTGTGCAGAAGCTTTTATTAATAGCTGGGCAGAGAACTATTCCACGACAAGGTACTTGTAGTTTTTGATTGTATACAATCCATGTATGTTCTATACAGCTTGTTCTACGACTAAAGAAAAACTTCTTTTTTTTGCAGAAAAAACAAATATGGCAATTGATTTCACTTTTTTCAGTCGAGCATTCGTCTTTTAAATTTTTGCTATGCACAGTATTTTGATCATAATTAAAATGTCTTGAACATACACCAAAACGATGAAGTTCTTTATTAACATCATTAACAGCATCTTCGTCAATTTCCCAGACACTGATTAATTCTCGCAATCTCTTAGCAGATTCTCTATTACAGCATTGTATTTCTCCATGATCATTATTGATTATGATGCATGGTGTAGTTTGTTTTGTATTAATCACGGGAATCTCTTCAATATATTCATCGCCAGTTTCCTCGTTACTTATTTCTTGCAAAATTGGTATGTCTTCCGCACTAAATTCTTTCCATGGGTCATTTTTAAATTCTGCTGAAGCTAGAGCATACTCGTATAGGCTTTGCTCTAAGTCGAACACGGGATCATTGCCGTGTTCTTTTTCATCATCTGATGAAATCATGTCCTCAACATTTATTAAATCTTCTTGTAATTCATCTTGGCTATAGTCAAGTGGCAAGAATCCTTGTGAAGATTGTAAAAAACTATCTATTTTATTTGATAGTGGTATTTTTAATTGTTATTTTAATAGTTTTTTTTGTTAGTTTGATTTAATTTGATGTTTGAT